AAAGAAAGAAAGAAAGAAAGAAAGAAAGAAAGAAAGAAAGAAAAGAACTCCACTGTAGGGTAATAAGACTGCCTTTCTGCCCCGAGGTTAGTGGCTGTCACTGTGGACTGACCCGGAAGCATTTATCTCCCTGCAGTTCCTGCCTTGCCCCTCTGCTTTCTGCTACCTGAAGCGAGCTGCTTCTCCACAGGCCCTTTGGTCTCGCTGTTTCTTCTTTGGAACCAGCCAAAAACTGACTAAAATGTACCTGTCCTTCTTTAAATTGCATGCAGGTGTCGGTATTTTGTTCCAGACACAAGGAAAGTGACTCAGACAGCCCCACTCATTCATTTTTCTTCCTAAAGCCTATTATCAGTACATGGTGTAATCCTCAGCCAGGAGCACAAAAGACTCCCTGGGACACCCACTGGGCTCAAGAAACCACACCCAAAAGAAAACTGAGTTCTAGCTGGCTTTTTCCCCTCTCTCAGCCCCAGCTCTACTGTCACCCCATTTCTTGCTCCTCTTTGCCTACCAAGGAGCAGGACTGGGCCTGCTCTGGAGTTCTCCGTCTACCTGGATGCTGGATCCTCCACAAGATCAAGCAGCAGGACAAAGACGAGACTTAATCTGCACCCCAGAGCTCAGGCAAACTCTGTACCACACTGCTCTTCGTTCTTTGGGTCTATCCATCTCCCTTAAGTCATTTCCTCTTCTGAAGTTGCCTACAACTCCTTCTTCCCTCGACCCTAAGAAGGGGGTATTCAAGCCTCACCATCCCGCTCTTTTTTAGGGTTATCACTTGGTGTAACTCCCACTACATTAAAATGTGAATGCCTGTTCTGTTAATCTACCACTTGTCAGTCCGTTTTACAGACTAAAATTATTTGTTAACTAAAGAGAAAGAGCCTAAGTTCTAAACAGCGCCAGCTGTCACTGTGGATATTAGCTTCCTACCGATGCACACCGTGGGGAGGGGCTGGGGTCAAGGCTGGACAACAACTTTTGAGAAGTCCACCAGAAGCTCGGCGTCCCCAGCCGCCAGCCCCACACGCGCAGCACTTAGACTGGTGCTGTCTGAGGTCCGCGCAGTGCTCCAGGAAGAAGTCGCGGTGCGCCGCAGGACGGATCGGAGCGAACTCTGGCGAACTCGGATACGATCCCCTGCTCCGCGGAGACGTGATGAGGCCGGGAACCACGAGCACAGCACAGCCCACGACCCACAGAGCGGGCGTTGGTGGTGGCCAAGACGAAGTGTGTTAACCGGCTGCACTGAAGGCGCCCGCCTAACCACAGTCACTTCCTCCTGCTTGCAGCCTTGTGTCACCGAGGGTGTCAGGCCACCACCCCCGCCACCACCCCAACCCCACCCCCGACTGCAGCACCACCCTGTCCCTGCCCCCAGGCCGTCCCCAGCCTCCGCCGGCAGCACCACCCTGTGCCCGCCCCCGGGCCTTCTTCCGCCCCCTCCGGTAGCGCCAGCCGGTCTCGGCCCCTGGGTACCTGCACGAGGCCGCGCTGCAGCAGCGCGCCAAGCACGCAACCAGGCACCTCCGCTGGCAGCTCCAACGAGCCGTTCGCATTGTGCACCCACCAGCCGCTCCGCAGAATGTAGTGCTGAGTGCCCGCGGTGGGGCCTGCATGGCCGGGAGTAAGCAGTGAAGGCACCAGCAGCAGGGGGAGCAGCGGGAGCAGCCGGAGCAGTTTGACGCGCATATCGGAAGCGCCAGAGCCCCGGGTGGCCGCCTCACAGGTCACGGGCAGGACACGCCCCACGCGAGGACCCGCCCCGGGACCGCCCAACCAGCAGAACCCGCCTCCCAGGATAGGCTCCGCCCCCAAGCCTAGGACACGCCCCCTAGAGCCTGCCCGCCCAGTCTCCGACCACGCCCCTGACTCGGCCCCGCCCCTAGACCCGCGCCTTCCACCCGGTGGGCGGCCCTCGGCCGCAGGGGCAGTGCTCGGCCAGAGTTGGTCAGTCCGGGAAGCCTGTTCTGGCCTCTGGGAGACGCAGGTGCCATAGCCCTACCTAACAGTGGAGCCACACGGCCTCATGCAGAGTCCAGGTCGACATAGGATGTGGCATGCAGTGCTCAAAGGCCCTCGGCCTGCAGAATACAGAGTGCGCATTCAGGCACCTGCCAGGCGATTGCTGCCGGTCACCGCCCCGCTTGGGCTCTGTCCTGTGTGAGCACCGTCCGCTGTGGGGAACAGCAACAGACCTGCAAGAGTACCAGTGCCCATGGGGAACCATCCTGCCTGCGCAACGTCCACCTGGACACCGTCTCACGTGGGTATGTCACCCGTAGGTACCACTCCGCCTGAGCGAGCACCTTCCCACATAGGAACCATTTCCTGTTGAGCACCTTCTTACTTGGGTGCTAGGTGCCGTCCCTTGTGGTCCGGTCGGGCCCCAGGCGCCCGGGCTCCACGCCCCTGGGGCGTCGCCTCCACAGAGCGTGTCACGCATGAAGCCCTGCTTACCAGGAAACCTCCCCAGGCTGGGCTCACAGCCACAGCCGGGCCCTGCGCCCAGATTGTGCAACAGGACGTCACCAGCTTGAGATGACCGTTCTACTTTGTAGGGCAGGTGTCCAAGTACCAGAGTACTTCTCAGAGTGCCTCCTGCTTTTTTGGGAGAGGCCAGAGAGCAATGCTGACAAAGAAAGGGGGGAGGCACTTTCCCTCAAATAGAATTAGGACAATTCAAGGCGCCAGAGTGGCTAGATGCTGTTTTCTATGAAAAAAAAGGCTTAAACTGGACGTGGTGGCCTACTCCTTAATCCCAGCTGTGCAAGAGGCAAGAGGATTGTGAGTTCGAGGCCAGCTTGGAGCATGGCAAGATTCTCCCTTTCAAGGAAAAAAAAAAAAAAAAAGAAAAAGAAAACAGAAAAGAAAAGTAAGAAATAAGAAAAGAAAATAAGGTCCTGGGGAGATAGCTCAATAGAGTAAGCACTTGCCTGGCAAGCACAGGATTCTGAGTTCAATCCCTGGTACCTCAAAAAAATAAATAAATAAAATAAGAAATGCTTCAGAGAACTTGTTTTTGGAAGCAAAATCAAAATATAGCCATCACTTCTTCCCTCCTCCTTTCTTCCTCTGTGAAGTCACTTAGATTACCATGGAGCACCCAGGAAAAACCAAAACCCTAATCCATGGACTCCCTAAAATTGGGATTGGCATAGATGAAAGAATGAAGCCTTTATTTTATTATCAGATAATCTTTCCCATTGTTTTCTTGAAGAATATCTGTTTTATGTTATGTTATGTATTTGGTACAGGGTCTCACTACACAGCTCGGACTCATAGTACAGGCCAGCATGGCATGTGGTGCTGGGGATTGAACCCGGGTCCCTGCACTTGCCTAAGCAGGCACTTAGTCCACTGAGCTATCTCACTGGCCCAAGAATATCACTTTTTTTTTTCCTATTTTTATTTATTTGTGTGTGTGGCCAGCTCAGCCCACCAGGGGGCAGGGCTGGCTGGCATGTGGTGCTGGGGGATTGAACCACGGTCCCTGTGCTTTGCTAAACTTGTTCTAAGTAGGTGCTTTAGACCACTGACACATCTCACCAGCCCAAGAATATCACTTTTAAAGGGATCAGAAAGCTGCTCAACTTTATGTACTTTAAAGTCACGACACCAAATACAATCTTAAAAGTATACATGGGCATTGTATACCCAATTCCACTTTGATCATGTCATTTCATGGTTTCCAAAATTTGAGTTGTTTAGGACAACTGATCATCTTGTGGTTTAAAGAAACAGAAAAAAATAAAAAAGAGAAAAAAGAAACAGACAGGACCTCCAAGGGTCACATGACATTTTGGGGGTCCCTGTGTGCCACTACAGGCCTTAAGGGCCTTCAGCCACCTGAGTTAGCCAGACTTTTGTCCCTGTAACCAAATACTCAAGAGAATCCACCAAAAGGAGGGAAAGCTTGCTTCAGCTCACAGTTTCTGAGGTGTCAGTTTCTAGTCAGCTCCACAGCACAGCAGCATGGCAGCGGCCACAGGAAGGAGAGCTGCTCAACTCCTGGCAGCTGGGAAGCAAAAAGGGTGAGAGAGCCCTAGGAAGAAGGGACTAAGGACAAGGCACACTCATGCCCTCTCCCTGCGTCCAAGCCTGTCCTCCAGTTTCTGTCACTGCCTGCTGCTGGTCCCACAGTCTCTTGGAGGCATTGATCCTCCATGAATTAGCCTTCACAGTCCAGCCCCATCTGAGAGCCTCACCTCCAGACTTTTCTATCTAAACCATACCACCACATGACTGTACTGTCTTCATCTCTAAGTGGATAAGGTTGGTGAGCCCATCAATTATCACAAACGTCTTGGCAAGGGTGCTTCAGGCCAAAGAAAATGACAAGAGCTACAAGAACACAGAGGTCTGAAGGTGTGTGGAGTAGCTGTTTGTCATTCATTTGGGTATCAGCTGTCTCTCTAACCTGGAAATGGTAGAAGTCCTGAAGGGGCCAACTGCTCCCTTGACCCAGGCTCTTTCCAGCCATAAAAACTAAACCATCAGATGAAGTCAGCTGTAGTGAGAGAGGATCCAACAGAAGGGCTGGTGGAGGCTGGGGCTACCAGACAAGGTACCTCAGCTCCAGCCAGGCATTGTGGTCATAGGATTGCCTAACCCCAGCAAGAGTGACAAAATAGAGCCTTCCATAAAAATGCTTGGAAAGCTTGAAATACCCACCAGAGTCTTTGTTCTGTTTTGAGATAAGACCTCACTATGTAGCCCAGACTGGCTTCAAACTCCCCATCTTCCTGCCTCAGCCTCCCAAGTGCTGGGATTACAGCCCCTACATGCTCAGGTCCCATCGAGTTTGAAGCTCTAATTATTAGCACAAGGAGAGAAAGCAGAGGAGTTATGATCACCACTAGAATGAGGCAGGTCAGGAACATGTGACTTTCCCTACAGTTGAAGGGACACTAGTTCCCAAGGCAAGCAGCAGAGAAGCCCCATATCCCTCACTGTTGTCCCAACCCCCTGGGGAAAAAACAGCAGGATCCTGAGCATGGATGAGTATAAGAGACCCTTCTCCATCTCAGTGCCCAACTATAGGTGGATCCCAAACCACAGAGGATGACAAAAAGGTTTGCAGTATCTGTGAGAATAAACTTGTAAATTGAATTGAACCATACTGAGGCAGGAAGATCATTGTGAGTTTGAGGCCAGCCTGGGCTATATAGTGAGTTCAAGGCCAACCTGAACTACATAGCAAGACTAAGTCTCAAAAATGAAAAATAAAAAACACCTGAAGACAAGCAAGTATCTGTGAGATCTGGAGACTGAACAACAGATGAAGATACTAGCCCTCAAAATCACCACAATCCTCCTTGCCTCAGCCTCCCTCATGCTGGGATTACAGGCTGGTTTTTATGTCCTGGACTACTGTTTGAGAAACTTACTCTTTGTACATTGTAACATCTTTGATGCTGTACAGGACATCTATCTCTGGGTGGCTCAGATGGAGAAAGCAAAGTCACATTGTCATAGTGTTGTCACCATACTTGGGTTACCTGGGGTGAGGGCATGGAATGGTGATCAGCTCTGTGGGCCCAAAGCTGGAGTTCTGAGTGGTGCGATTAAAACCCTCATATCTGGGGCTGGTGAGATGGCTCAGTGGTCTAAAGCACCTACTTAGAACAAGCTTGGCAAAGCACAGAGACCGCGGTTCAATCCCCAGCTACCACATGCCAGCCAGCCCTGCCCCCTGGTGGGCTGAGCTGGCCACACACACACACACACACACACACACATAAATAAATAAATAAAAATTAAAAAAAAAAAAACCCTCATATCTGAGCAGCAGAAAGGCCTCTTTGTACCTGACACTGTACTTTTCAGGTCACATGAGACACTGACAAAAACTGATCTCATGCTAAGCTGCAGAGAAAATCCAATGCAGAGGAACTGACAATGTAGAAAACAACGTTCTCTGATCATCATGTAATAAAATTAGAAATAAGTAATAAAAAAGATAGCAAAAAAATCATGCAATATAGTAAACATTGTTGAATTTCTATCACTTTGTTTAGCGAAATTTTGCATCATTTCTAGTGCTGCTTTTTTCTATCACTATTTTGTATTCTTTAAAAAATAAAAAATAAAGCTATATTTCAACTTAAAAAAAAAAAAGATAGCAAAAAGCTCATTTATCTGGAATGTTAAAAAAACATTTTATTAAAAAAAAACAAAAAACACTGAGTCACAGAAGCAGTAGATCCCCAGCTTCCAATCGTGAGCATCCAGAGCATGGAAGAAGCCCCTTTGTCCTGAAAACAGGGGAAAAGTCACTCAATAGCAACCATACAGACCTTCCTGAGGTGTGGGGGGTCCCAGGGTGAAACACTGCCTCAGCCAGGAAGAACAACAGGTGACTGCGGGACTCACAGCCACCACTGGCCACAGGCCCTGTGGAGCCTCAGCAGGACAAGGAGCTGTGACAAATGGCTCCGGGGTGACTGGCAACTCTGACCTGTGTGCCCAGTCTTAGGGTCCCTCTGTATTTTCTGGAATTTTCCCCTAGGAGTTATACAAAGTTCACCCACTGAAGACTGGAAATGGGGGAAAAACCCTGCAAGGGCAATCTAATGAAAAACATGGTGAATTTTTAAACACTTTTTTAAAAATGTAAGTGTCTTTAATTGCACCATCCTGGCTGCCTCATTGTCTTGAACCATTCAGAATGTTTCCTTCCATGGCCATTTTGACTTTGGGGAGCAGTCAGAGGTCTCACAGTACCAGATCCAGAGAATAAGGTG